GTCCCAGCACCCACCGGTGTGGTCCTTGTAAATCAAGTTTACAATGTTTATACATAAATATATTTTGAAGATGGAACATGTATCTCGTAAGTTGTGTGCATGTCGTAATCCAATAAATTGTAAAATCGATTTACAAGGACGCCACTGGTGCGGACTCTGTCATCTAAAGGAGACAGTCCGAGCACCCACCGGTGTAGTCCTTGTAAATCAAGTTTATAACGTTTATACATAAATATAATATTTCGAAGACGGAACATTTGTCTCGGAAGTTCTGTTCATGTCGTAAACCAATGAATTGTAAACTCGATTTACAAGGACGCCACCGGTGCGGACTCTGCCATCCAAAGGAGACAGTTCCAGCACCCACCGGTGTGGTCCTTGTAAATCAAGTTTATAATGTTTATACATAAATATATTTCGAAGACGGAACATGTATCTCGTAAGTTGTGTGCATGTCCTAATCCAATTAATTGTAAAATCGATTTACAAGGACGCCACTGGTGCGGACTCTGCCATCCAAAGGAGACAGTATCCACCGGTGTAGTCCTTGTAAATCAAGTTTATAATGTTTATACACAAATATTTCGAAGACGGAACATTTGTCTCGGAAGTTGTGTTCGAATTGTAAACTCGATTTACAAGAACGCCACCGGTGCGGACTCTGCCATCGAAAGGAGACAGTCCCAGCACCCACCGGTGTGGTCCTTGTAAATCAAGTTTACAATGTTTATACATAAATATATTTCGAAGACGAAACATGTATCTCGTAAGTTGTGCGCATGTCCTAATCCAATTAATTGTAAAATCGATTTACAAGGACGCCACCGATGCGGACTCTGCCATCCAAAGGAGACAGTCCCAGCACCCACCGGTGTGGTCCTTGTAAATCAAGTTTACAATGTTTATACACAAATATTTCGAAGACGGAACATTTGTCTCGGAAGTTGTGTTCATGTCGTAATCCAATGGAGCCGTTGATCCAATGAAAACTCATTTTCTTCTTATTGGATCATCGGCTGCGTTACGACACCGACACACGTTAAGGCCCGGTCTACAATGAGTCGTTAGTCGTTAGTCAGAAGTCGGAATTATATGTCGGTCCTTTTCCTTCCACCCAGAAAGGAAAAGGATCAACATATAGTTGCGACTTCTGACTAACGACTAACGACTCATTGTAGACCGGGCCTAAGAAGACAAGTATTGATCATTTTTGTAAAAATGCATCTCTTTAGGTTGTGATACAGATGTATTTGTACAATTGTGATCAATTACTACTATTAGAATATGAACTATCGTCGTAATTACCGTAGTAATCTTCGGAAAGAAATGTGTTCACTGGGATGCATGTGTCTCGTCTGTTTCCTTCTGGCCTTTCTGCAAGCGTTCTTTGGCATGTGCTAACCATATTTTTACGGGAGCTGCGATTTCATCATCCGTTGCATCTGTATGTATCTTACGAATCACATCTGAAAAAATAAATTCAAATTGACTGATAAATTACTGTGATGTAATTTAAAAAAGTACAGTTTGGGCTTTTAAGATTTCTACTTACTCATAATTATTTTACATATTTCCAATTGTGAGAAATTTTTTTTCTTTTTCGCTCCAAACCAACTGGACTGCTAGCTCATTGGACATTATTACTCGTATCAGTCGTATGCATGACGTTTTCATGTTTTGACATATGTTACACGTATCAATTGCTTCATCTGGAATAGTTTTATATTGACATTATTTTTTCAATTTTTAGTAGTTTCTTAATTATTACCCGTCTTTTATATATTTTTTTATTAAAATATAGATGTTAGTCTTACCACTTGACTCTTGTACCATGAATTATCTTTTAATTTTGTTTCCGTTGATTTTAAATCGTATTCGTCTTTCAGAGGCAAATATTCAAAAATATCAATACTTTCTTTTTCTTCTTCCTCAACATTAAAATTTCCAACGTTTTCCACAATACGATTTTCAAGCGCTTTGATGTTTTTTGCAATGTCATTACATTGAAACTCCAAATTTATAAGTTTCCGTACGACAAAACGTGTAAAATTGTCAAATTCTACATACAAGTAAAAACATGTTATTTGTTATTTTTTGACCATATACAATATCAAATTTTTTACGTACTTTACAGATAAAAATGAAACTAAGAAAAATATCATGCAATTATTTTATGGTAACTGACATTGTAATTTTAAGAGTTCAAGTAAAACGTATAATACAAAAATTAATGGCATACTAACTTTGTTCTAAACTTTGTGTGTTTTGCGTTAAGAGGCCATCAGTATTTTTGTCTTTTTCATTCCTTTCCATTTTGGACGATTTATCGGGGTAATTATTTAGATTAGGACACCCACCTCCAATAACCTTGGGCTTGACATATATTATAGAGGTCACCCTTTTGAGTAACCCTCAGAAGGATTTAGCCGGCGCTCGTTGTTTATTAAAAAGTTATTAAAAAAACAATGTCAACCAATTATATGTAATTTTCAGACACAAATATTAAAAATTTTGAAAAATGTTTTAAACAAAGTTGTAGATCTCTTTGAAATATACATTTTATGTTCTATTCATTTTTACTGTGCGAGTAATAGTTTTCGAAAAAAATGATGGACACTAAATCTTATATCTCTCCTCCCATCTCCATCTGTCGTACGTCATGGAAGTACATGCATGGAGACAGTATATGTTCCGCCCCCCCCTACGGGGGGGGCTCCACTTCGTTAAAAATAACCCTACCCACCCTATGTCAGAGGTTGTGTCTAAATAATTACCTTTATCGGTACACGAATGATCTAAAAACAAAGCAATATCATAACGCTACATTGTATAAAAATCATTAATATTTATATTTGTACAAGACATAAATTCATTAGAAAGCGCAAAATGTACAGTAAGATAAATATTATTTTTGAACCAACCTCTTTCTTCGACGAAATTCTGACTTGAGAGTGATTCAATGTCCTCGTTCCAGTCATCAATGTTTGTACTATAATACATTGTGGCTTTACAAAAATTTAGCATTTTTATTTGCATGTATTTACTTTCGAAAAATGTTAGATTTATACACTTTAATATATTGTACAATATGCATATCATGCTCTAAATTATAAAATTATAAAAAATTTAATAAACTGGACGTGGACACTAATATTTATTTATTCCTTACACGCACGGATACATGTATGCACGCACATGCACATAGACAAATGGATAAATACCTTGTGAATTAGATCCGTAATTATACGCTGGCTCCAGTATTACGTGACGTTCATTGCCTTTACGTTCCAGTAATTCTGAAATGAAAAAATCAACATTTTCGTACTTGTTCATATACACGTTACTTATAAATATTATAAATATTTAATGCTATATTTTTCTTTTTTGTTTGTTTTTCCAGACATCTTTAGACCTTTGTTTTGTTACATTTTATAAATATCTATCTTTTTGTAGTGTTATTGTTATTTATATTGTTTTTCTTCTTACCCTTTTGTACGTCTGTTGAGGTTTTTGGTTTCTTTACAGTGTGCACACTGATAGAAGAATATTTCTTTTTTAAAACGTCCGGCACATTTGGGATATCTGACAGAAAACTGTCATCTGACAGTTCCACTGAACTACACGAATCATGTATGGGTTTAGCGGCTCGTATTTTCCTGGTTCTTTTACGGTACTGTTCTTTTTCTGTGCCAGATTTCAGATCTGACAGGTCCTCGGCATCTTTCAACTTTTTCCTTGCCACTTCATAACTAGCTGCAACACAATAATATATTTATTTTACATAAAAATATATTATTTCCCAATATTATTTTTGAAATAATATTGGGAAATAATATATTTTTACACTTTATTAAATTTTATAATTTACGTTTTCTTATTATTTACAAAGAAATAATACATATAAAAAAAAGGTGCAAATGGGAAATTTGGAGGCATTAGCATTATGGCAGGTTGTGTAATCAAATTTGGCTTCCTCATAGAGGAAGTTTTGTCAGATAATGTGCAAATTAAAAGAATGGACAATGCCAATTACAACTTGAAAAAATGAAATTTGGAAATTTAGAAAGTAATTCGTAATGAAGAGGGCAGGTGATTATTGTAAATTTGGGCAACATAATAGAAGAGGGTTTGTGAGTAGAGGTGAATTTTGGAAATTGCTTAGTGCAGAATGTTTATTCCCATACAAAGCTTTCTCTATGAGTAAGCCATATTCAAGTTTTTCATTCTCCTCCTCCTTGCATACGTTTCCGGCTTCCTCATAGAGAAAGCTTTGTATGGGAATAAACATTCTGCACTAAGCAATTTCCAAAATTCACCTCTACTCACAAACCCTCTTCTATTATGTTGCCCAAATTTACAATAATCACCTGC